CAAGGCACCCTAGAGGTAGCTAAGGAGGTCTTAAAAGGCTCCCCTTTTAGCCTTAACCTAGCTAAAAGCAAGGAAAAGGCTATAGAGGACCTTAAGCTAGAAGGCTTAAAAGCCTTAGGTACTTATATAGGCCCTATCCGGCCTAGAAGAACCTTCTTGTAAGAAAAGCTAGCTACCCTATAGGAAGCCCTAGAGGCCCTGTAAGACCTTCCTAAGTAGCACTCTTTGCTTCTTCTTAGAGGCAGTATCCAGCTTCTTCTAAGGCACCTCCAGAGGCAGCTAGACCCAACCGGGCTAGAAGACCTTTGGGAAGAGGCTAATACCCTTATAAGAGAGGCTATTATAGCCCTAGTGGCTAGAAGCCCTAGTGAGTGCCCTAAGGAGCCTAATTCAAACCTTATAGCCCTTCCAGTCAGAGAGGGAGGCCTAGGAATACCCTTACACAGAGACCTAGCCCACGAGCTATTCCTAGCAGCTAGGGAGGCCTCGCAGCCTACCCTAGGCCTCATCCGGAAGCCCCTAGCCCAGCCTACCCTAGACCAAAGCCAGCCTAACTAAGGCCAGCCTAGACTAGGGAAAACAGCCTAATAAGTGCTAAAGGAAGCTAATAAGGCTAGGCTAGTAGGCTTCTTAGAGGACCTCCCCGCTAGCTATAGGCACGCTAGGCTAGAAAACGCTAGCTATCTTGGCCGTAAGTGGCTAGGAGTCTTACCTACCCAAAAAGCCCTATCTTTTATAGACTCTGAGGTCACTGAAGCCCTCCGAAGCCGGCTTTTCTACCCAATTAAGCCTATTAGCCTACCCTGTAGCTCTTGTGGAGCTATAGCTGCCTTAGGCCATTAGGATACCTGTAAGGGTGCTAATAGAAGGTGGATTGCAAGGCATGACGCTATAACTAGGGCCTTTATAAGAGCTCTAAGTAGCTAGCCTACCCTAGAGGTCAAAAAAGAACCCCTAGTCTACCTAGAAGGTAGCCTAAGGGCCGACTTTGTAGTTAACCTAGGAAATAGCTGCTATTACTATGATATTTAAATCGTAGCTATTTTAAAGGATTCTGCTAAGGAAGACCCTTATAGTACTCTTAGAGAGGCCGCAGAAGAAAAACGCAGAAAATATAGGTCTCTCAGAGCCTTTTTTTAGCCTCTCATCTTCTCAGCAGGTGGCCTTATAGACCTAGAGATAGCTAAGACCTATTAGAAGCTCTAGGACCTTATTGGCCCCCTTGCGGCTAATTAGCTAGACTCCTCTATTAGCCTTGCCCTGATGAGGACTAAGGCGACCTCTGCGGCTTCTATAGCCCGAGATACCCCTAGTAACCTAGCTAGGTCGATCTGGAATACTTCTAGGGCTTCTTAAGGCTTTTCTTTATCCTTTACCTTTTACCTCTTATCTCTTATCTCTTTGCCTTTTTCTTACTAGCTATACCTCTCTCTCTTAGTTATATCTCTTTTTCCTAGCTATATCTCTCCCCTAGCTATATCCCTCCCCTAGCTATATCTCTTTCTTAGCTATACCTCTTTCCTAGTTATATCTCTTTCTTAGTTATACCTCTTTCCTAGTTATATCTCTTATGCTTTTCCTTTATTATTTCTTAGAAAAATCTCCCCTCTTTTATCTATAAGCTATATCTTAGCTAGAAGAAACCCCTAGGGCAAAATAGCTTAGATAGTTAATAGTTACTCTATTCTAACCCTAAGGCTTCTTAAGGCTTTTCTTTATCCTTTACCTTTTACCTCTTATCTTTTATTTTTTACCTCTTACCTTTTATCTCTTATCTCTTATCCCTTATCTCTTTGCCTTTTTCTTATTAGCTATATCTATCTCTTTTAGTTATATCTCTTTTTCCCAGCTATATCTTTTACCTAGTTATATCTCTCCCCTAGCTATATCTCTTTCTTAGTTATATCTCTTATGCTTTTCCTTTATTATTTCTTAGAAAAATCTCCCCTCTTTTATCTATAAGCTATATCTTAGCTAGAAGAAACCCCTAGGGCAAAATAGCTTAGATAGTTAATAGTTACTCTGTTCTAACCCTAAGGGGTTAGTTTCCTACTTAGTATTACCGCCCTCGACTATATCATAGCCGTGACATAAAGGGCCTAAAAAGTAAGGAATATTTTAGCTTTATAATTAGACTATAATATACTAAGTAATTAAGAATTAATTAATTAAATAGAGATAATATAAGTTAAGGGATTTTTAAGATACTCGCTTATCTAAGATATTTACCTATTAAGTATATTAATTTAAAATTATATATTTATCTTTTATAAGACTTTAACCTTATTAAAACCTTATTTATTAAAAACTATTAATTAATTAAAAAAAAAACTATTAGCTACCTTATAGTTTATTAATATAAAAAAGTTTTATTATAATAAAAAACTATTAGTAGTATCACGGCCATAACATAATCGAAGGCAATAACGCCGGGTAGGAAATAGCCCTATTATATTAGCTAATCATAGGGAAGGAAGATATATAAGTCGAACGAAGTCAATTTAACTTCTCTCGACTATATAAGTTAAACGCTAATAACTCGACTCGACTTAACTATATTTAACTCAAAGGAATAAATAATATATAAGATATGCTTATTATACTTTCTTATATAATAGCTACCTTAGCTATTAATATAACTTAGTTATACTTAATACCCTTAAGTATATTACTAGATATAATATTATATTACCCTTTAAGGCTACGCAATATAATCTAGTGCTAATATAAACCTATACGACTGGTTTATCCCTTAGGAAATATCCTCTCGTCATAAGTAGCTTAGCTAATAATTTTTATAAATAATAAGGGTTTTCTCTTTTGCTAAAAGAGTCTTCTTATAATAGTAGCTAGGATATAAGTAAACTGTAGGGAATATAAAAATAGACGCGTTTTTAAAAATATGTTCTAAGCTCGTGGTAGTAGTAGTGGTTTTTTTTTTCTTTTTCCAAGCCCTTCGACTGCATACGGGTGTTAGCACGCAACTGACACGAGTCGTACCAAAGGGTGGTCTGGTTATTGAGGGGCAGTTCTTTCCCGAAGGTGTAAGTCGAACCTGTCTGCCTCAAGTGCTGATCTCAGACTGTCGCATATCACCGCTAGGTTCGTGCGACTAGATATGAGACGTGGCTCATACTTTGGGGTCATATATCCGGTTTCACATCCACCTTATCGCAACAATGATTCTAATCCTAACGACATGAGCTTAAGTAGCTCTGCGCGAACACATGGTTATTTAATTTCTTTTGTTCTTTAGAGAATTCTCATCAATTGACTGGTGCCATCAATGATCCCTATGGAGCCAATTGTCTGATACAGACTGATGATGGACAGACCGAGGTTGGTGTCAACGGTTGGGCTCTTTACCATAACAAGGCGATTTTCGGCCACGACGCAAGCGTATTTCGCCCCGAGCGATGGCTCGAGACAAAGGAGAGCCTGAACATTGGTGGATCTTTCACGGTAAATGACCCTACCATTCCCCTATCAACGATTGATAACTGACACCTCTGCTATATAGTTTGGAGCCGGTTCTCGCTCTTGCATTGGCAAGCACGTTAGTATCTTGGAGATGTTAAAGGCTATTCCCTAAATTGTCCGGAACTTTGACATTGAGATTAATCATGGGGATATGACTTGGAAGAACGAGTGTAGGTGGTTTGTCAAGCCTGAATACAAGGCCATGATTAAGCCTCGGGCGGTTTAGCTACTGTCCATTGCTGAATGGCACGCGAGTCTCCTCTTGTCCTATGCTATAGTGCCAGTCTCCTTGTCAACGCATCACATGAGAGCAACGTTAGTATAGCCACAAACGTCCCGTGACAATGTATCACACGGCGGCAAATTATCACTGCCGCCCACCACTCCCTTGCCTTCCAAAGATGGTCGGAGCCGTGCCCCCTGAATAAGCCGCCACCAAAGCGTGGCTCGGCCTGAGTCGGAGCCCCCTTTCGCATATAACGTAGTCAAATCACGTCGTTGGTTGAATATCCCGGGAAATCATCTAATCCAACCCTGGTAATCTGCTCAACAGGGTGGAAAGTGGGCGCTCGCCATCTCATCATCCTAGGCAGGTGATGGATGTGACATGGATGTGACACTCATCAATAAGCGACAATAACCCCTGTGCCTCCGTCTAGCCAAGTTGGTCAAGCCCAGCTCCCCATCATCCCCGCACCCCACACTCGGAGTACCTTGAAGCTGTCGTGACCAATCCACGGTCGGTGGGGATAGCATCCCCGCGTTTGTTATCCCAGATGAGCCACCCTTAGCGCAACCCCAGAGATCGGGAACGAGATCCGCGGCTCCGGCATTTGTTTACCCCGGATCTACATAAACATCTCAGAAGATCTCGTATCATGGAGCCTGACAATAGCATCAAGTCTGATTGTTTCACCACAAGGTCTGTTGCCTATCAAAGTTTAAGCAATGTCGGACAAGCGAGATAAGGTCGAAGATGAGCCCAACGCAGTCGAGGTTGAGCTGCTCACTGCGGATGAGGATGAGAACTACCAAGGACTTACTTTGAAATGCGTCTTGGTCTATATGGTAAGCCGTTGGCAGACAACTCGCGGGCAAAGCTGACCAGACCAGTCTATCCTTATTGGCTGCGCTGCACAGGTGCTTGCCATTGTTGCTACTGGCGCCGTAAGTCTTCTCTCTGGACTCGCATTGTCATAGCTTGCTCATATCAACATTAGTTCTCGAGAAACGTGGCCGCCGTCGTGGGCGGGGAGGACAAATATATCTGGATTCCTTAAGGCCTGATCATCTGCGTCACCTTCACGGCAGCCCCGATCGCCTAGTCGTCGGATTTCTGGGGTCGCAGATACCCCATCCTTATTTGTATAGCACTCTGCTTTATCGGATCGCTTCTGATAAGCAGGGCGGTGTCCATGACCATGGCTATTGCTGGATCCCTGCTGGTCGGTGTAGGATCAGGATCGTCCTCGCTGCTATATGCAGTCGCATCAGAGATCATGCCGAGGCGGTATCGACCTATGGCCCAGGCTGGAGTCAACATTGCCAATTCGCTGGGAGGAATATTCACGCTGCTCGTCGGCTTCGCTCTGGTCAAGAAGAGTGACCAAGGCTTTCGAATTGTCTGGTACATTGGCACAGGGCTCTTTGCCATCAACTTTATCGCCATCCTCTTCCTCTTCAGACCCCCAAAGCGGGCCCTGCAAGTGACCCTGACCTTGCAACAGAAGCTCAGGGCTCTCGACTGGATAGGATACGTCCTGTTCTCTATCGGCATGATCCTGTTCAGCGTGGGCTTGACATGGGCAAACAACCCATATCCCTGGAAGAATGCTCACGTGCTCAGCACGTTTATTGTCGGTGTCGTCTTTATCGCCCTCACTGTCGTGTGGGAGGCGAAGAAGAAGGACGGATTCTGCCACCATGGCCTCTTCGAGACCAGTCGCAACTTTGCTCTTGCACTTGTCTTTATTTTCGTCGAAGGATTCACGTTCTATGCCGTCAATAACTTCCTCCCTTTCGAGTTCTCGCTTCTTTTCGAGAGCGATCAATTCAAGGTCGGGGTATTGACCTCTATTATCTTCTTTGGCGGCTCGGCCGCATCCATCATCGGCGGCCTTTACTCTGTAAAGACGAAGACAGTTCGACCGCCGTTGATGGCTGGGATGTCACTATTTGTCATCTACTTTGGTAAGGATGCTTGCTCTTCCACCCATTCATTTATCGCTAACCACAGTCCTCTATAAGCATGTATGGCCACGATCAAGGCGGACCAGTCTGCAGCCGTAATCTGGGGCTTCACAGTTTTGGCAGGTTTCGGTCTTGGGTTCGGCCTTGTTATTGCCGTCACGACGGGTCAGATTAGTACTCCTCCAGGTCTTATTGCCACCACTAGTGGCCTGATCTTGACTGCAAGGTCTTTGGGAGGCTCCGTCGCCCTTCCTGCCTACACCGCCATCCTTAACTCCCTATTGTCGAAGAATCTCGGACTAAAGATAGCGAATAAAGTTCTCCCTCTTGGACTCTCTGCCGACGACTTGCCAGCTTTTATCGGTGCTTTGGCTAATAATGATCCATAAGCCCTGGCAAGTATTCCGGGCGTCAACCCAGAGGTTATTTCCGCGGGACTTGATGGGTTGAAGGCGGCTTATCGCATCGCCTTCCGTGGCATCTGGGCTACAGTAGCAGCCGTCTCGGCTGTTGGTCTTATACTCGCCCTCTTTGTTGAAGATCCTCGCAAGAGTTTCAATATGCACGTGGATGCGCCCGTCGAGCACGAACTTGCCCTTAAGCTTAATGTCGGCCGAGAGCCAGCCAAGACGAACAACGAGACAGCTACAGCAGATGACACAATGGACGCCATCAGCAAGGAAGCTTGAGATAGAACCTGAGGTAGGAGTGTGGCTTTATTAGGAGGACGGCGAGGTGAACAAAGGACCAAGGTGTCAGTCGGTGATGTGGACGCTTTGTGATAATGCTAGCTACTCCGTAGGGCGCGAACAACATGATCCGCTGAAATTCAGAATCAAAGATGTTTTTGGTTGGATGACTCGAGAGTGTTACAACAGGTACTATGGTTTCCAAGAGTGACCCTTTTCCTTTTTGATTCAGCGTTGAATTACAATCGCTCTCGTTAGCTGGTGAGTTGAAGGAGTAGTTGTGGCAAACCTCCTAGGCTCGCCCCGAGAACTCGGCAGATCCCGCTCACACGTCCCTTGCTCCCATCAGCCGTACCGAATACTAGTGTTTTCAGAATATCAAGTGCCTTCAAGTGGCTAGTTATTAGCATCAAGGCGTCATCCGCTGGCGGAATTCATGCCAAGTAGTTGGACCAGTAAACACTTTGCTGTAACACCAGTTACCAAGGCGGACCTGGTTGCCGGGCTGACACTGAAGGAAACAGAGTGAGACCAAGCCCGGCGTTGTTTGAAGAAATAACGGATAGGCTCGGGAGTCACGCCAGTGTATGAAGCTGTCTCTCCCCTACCAACGCTGCCAGGCGCCAGATAACAGCTCTTCTTGTCGGTATGATGCGGTTTGCGCGTTTGACGACATGGACAGCACCCACTAAGTTCATACGGAAAGAGATGGCTCGAGCTTACAATCGTCGGGTGGATAAAGAGGCTTCTTTTCCTCGAGGGGCAGACTTGTAAAACGGGTGGTTAACGGGAATTCATTCCAGGCTTAGATTAGTAGAGTGTACGAACTGTTATAGGGATCGCGTTCGTGTTGCGACGTGGAGTTGCTGGGATAGTCAAGAGATTAGCCACGTTGACAACGTAACCGGGTATCGGTTTCTAGGTATTTATGGCCCCGGTGCTTCTCTTACCCACGTCTACGGCGTGGGGGGATAACTCTGTGTAGCCGAATCGACAAGGGTTTCCCCCGCTATTCTGTCCAGACCGGGTCGGCAATGAAGCCGGTGGTATGCACCGAGAGAGGGTACGCCTTGAGAGTAGCGCTTGGCCGGTCTGACCCCCTGCCACTGCTTCTGAGCCGTGTGTTCAGCTCGGAGGCAGGAGTGCTGACTGCCGCAAGTCTCCACCCCTGCTGCAACATGCACAATAGGGTTGGCGTCTTGGAGGAGCAAGTACATGCACAGTTTGACGTGTGGGCGGGGAGGGTGGCATCGGTGGAGGTGATGTGGTCTGCGATGGGGATAGAGCGGAAGCCTGAGATGGCAATTATTTCAGGAAGAGCGGTAGAACTGGTTGTGGTGTTAGTTAAACAACTCGATGACTGTCGGGCTACAGAAATCAAAGCCTACGTCTGGTCTTGGGCGGTTGGATATTTTCGTTGCTCGTTGCGAAGAGGGTAATAAACGCACCTGCAGGATGCAGTTTAAAGAAGAGCATTTTCACAGAGAATTCTCGTTCGACTGACTACACTTTGTTGTATCTAAACCTCAATTTGTTCTCCCTCCAACCAACGCTTAGCTACCCAGTATAGTTCATCATGCTTCTCGAGATTGACCGTCCCAACATGACGCCTGTGTCCGGGCATGTCCAACAGCACCTTGATGCCCATCGTAGTTTCTTGCTAGTACGCAAGATACTTGTAACCTGGCGGGTACGTCTTCAACTTGTCCTCATCGACGTGGGGGAACTTGGCTGGGTTGGCAGGGATCATCTTGTCCTTCTCATACCAGTGCCTGACAAGGCGGGCCCCCTAGCTTCCGTTGATCTTTTCAAAGTAGAAGCAGAACCGGCAGTCGGCTTCAACGTCGAACTCGGCACCGTCCACCTCAAAGCGCTGGGTGATGGTGGCCTTGAGCTTCGTCACTGCGCGGGTTCCCTCAACGTTGATATCCGTGCTTGAGCCGTGGCATCGATGCATGATAAAGGCACCTTTATCCATGCCGGCCTTGGAGGCAGCGATGAAGTCTTTGTATGCCACACGTCCTGACTAGGTAGTGTAGACGTGGGCTCCAGGATGAAAGATGGACTCGAAGTTTTCCTATTCACAAGAATCTCTGATAGCCGAATGTCAACCTCTTTCTCCGACGACGGCAAGAGCTCATGAGGTTGTATTACCTGTACGCAGGCCAGCCCTCAGCCAGTTCTCGAAGCTTTTGCCGCTCGAGAACTAGGTGATCTGGCCCATTGTTTCGAATAGCGGCGTTGGGCCGCGACCCTTTAGGAAGGCTATGAAGATCAACCATATTGAGGGAGTGTGACAATAGTGATAGCCACAAATGACTTCGACTAATAGTAATGATCGTATTGGCTGCGCGAAGAATACCACCTCTGAAAGCTGGCTACTTATACGCTATACCCGAGGAGATGAATATGCCTCGGTCCGGTGGTGATATGGCGGCTAAGTCCTTTCCCGCTCACCCACCGGCAGATGTGGGATCGCCAGAAAATCACCGACGGCCAGGGAAACTTTATACCCAGAATGACCCCGGCTGTGGTTCCTTGTAAAGCCAAGTAATTTTCGGCACCAACACGACGAGCCGTGCCATGCCCCTCTTGGATGGCACCACCCTTAACCCCCTGGAGCCCCATAACTGTATCCATCTAGCTACCAGAGAGGGTAGCTAGCCGCAAGGGTAGTCTGAAACTATAGGTAAGCTACTTCTTGTTGGTCCGCCTCTATAGCATCGGCTCTGAAGACGACTCATCCGGACCTGACTTGGAATAGCCGCGGGAACTTGCGTATTTCATGAGTTTGTCGATCTGCCTCGTCTGAGATCGAATTTGCGGAGGAAGGGATGGAGGCTCTGAGTGCCGCTTGGTCGAAAGCCCCCTACTAGAGCCCTAGCCGCACGATCTGCATATCGTTTTGCCCCTCTCTTCTTATACGTTGACATATAGGAGAATCACCAATAGCCAAGGAACACATTGGATCCCTATAGCAATAGGCATTTTAGATTGCCCTAGTACTATGCAACGCGTATTCGCATCTCATTAGAGCCAGCCAAGTGTACTCTCGGTTCCCAAGGCGGAACCAACTATTGTTGAAGATTGGGAAGCTCTCTGTTCTTGCAGCCTGTGTTCGAGGAATAATAATCTTGATGGAACTACAACTAGACAATTTGCGGCAGTCTGTCAACTCTGTCGAGTCCGAGCTGGACTAATGTACATGTAGGACTGCACCGCTACTTGGGATTGAAAATCTTGGCTTGTCCACAGCTTGCTGCAGTGATATGATGAATCTTCCCTTCAGGAGTTAGTTCGTAGTAGATCAAGAACTGGACCCTGTAGCCACCTCCTTTCCGCACACCCGACCCAAAGTGGAGGATATCCTTTTGGTCACGGTCAGCTGTTGTCCAGTGCTGAGAGCCTTCTAACATACCTCAACATTCGCAATGGCCGTAAACTTGATGTCACTCTTGATGGCGACGCCGTCCTTGTCCAGGATGATGGACTGGACGTTGACCTCCTCGTGTATCTTTTCGCGTGCGTTGCGAAAGAACTTGACAACCTCATCCTTGCCGGTAAGAGTCTCCTTGCCGTCTAGGATGACGGTCACGTCAGGCGTGTAGTATCGGGGAAAGGTGTCGAAGTCGTTGGTGTTGAAGGAACGGAGATAGTGGTCCAAGTCGCCTCTGGTGCGGATGGTGTGCCGCGATGCCTCCTTCATCACAGAGGCATCCTCAGCCAGCTCGATGATGTGGCCATCTTTGTCCAGAGTGTACCAGACAAACATCCTCACAAGAGGACCATTATCTGGCCACACGGGCCCCCATCTTCCGTCCAGGTTGTCAGTTTCGAAACCATTGATGCCACGGAACTGGGTGTGTATCTCAGTAGCGACGGCTTCCTGGCTGAAGACGACCTTCTTCAAGACTAGGGTCTCACGCATGCAAGAATGAATTTGATCTACCTATGCTAGAAACTCGTCGAGGGTCCTGTCGGGGAAAGTACTGAACTTGAACTACGGGGGGGGGTTAGTGAGAGTTGAATATGAAAGAACTTGGCTATTGTACTCACCATAGTATCCTTGGAGTAGTACGCTGCATATTCAGCTTTGTTGTTCGCGTTAAAGTTGTAAACATAGTCCTCCAGGTCGGCTCGGCTCCGTATCGCCTTTGTTGCCAGGGGAAGATCTGTGGTGGAGCCCATATTTGATACTTGGTTAATGACGGTATAGAGATGTATTGCAATGTGCCGAACTGTCAAAGAAGGAATGACGAGATCTTGGCCCTGAAAATTTCCCTTTCTAATACCCTTTTATCGGTCTAGACGATTGGCGAGATACCGAGTTCACGAACCAAGGTCAGCCGAAACCGACAAGAGGTACAGGTACGGGTGGCAACAAGGACAAGTGGGATGCGTACCTTTCAGTGGGGTAGATGGGTAGCTATCGGCTATTTAATGACTAGATGGGTGGGTTAAAGGGTGGGACAACGACTTAGGTCCCGGCTAGTTGTGTCCATTGAGTCTCATGACTTCTGCCAGCCGTAAACGTTATAGCCTCGGCGTCGGGGGAGCAACCTTCCCCGCACCCACCAGTGCTGTCATCTGACTTTACCAAGCCCTCATGGGTGTTTTGCAGAATTGGGAGGCCACGAAGGTATCTGCCCCTGGCAAGTCTGCGAGCCGGCAAACCGCGCTCTTGGCAACGCTTACGTCGCGGTAGTAAGCTAGACCGAAAGTTCGTTCCCACGGCACAGTGGATCAAGGCCAATAGATGAAACTTGGGTTGTTTGCCAACGTGATATGTATGTGAATTCCGCAGCCTTGATGCGGAATATAGGGTAGCTATGAGCTGGAGTTTCTGTAGTAGTCAGTAAGTTGAAATTGGAATTGATCATGTTCCAGTGCTGTTTGTCTCTGAGCCAGCGAGTCTTGGTTGACTTGGACCATATCCTAGACACACTTCCAGCAGAAGACGTTTGTCTTTCTGATTCGACATGAATATCACCTGCACGATAGCATGAACTTGCATAATAAAAACGATCTCATCTGAAGGACACTCTATAGAGTCTAGTTATTGGTTTGCAGCGGACAAGTTCATGCACTTGGGGGGTACCATAGGGTAGCTGCAGTACACGGGATGTAGACCACAAGGCAACGCAACTTTTAAGATCATCAACGGAGAGTAAGTTACAGTGAGCAGGGAAGAGCATTCCCAGGAAGTTTCTCAATGGCCAGTATATACAAGCAGAAACACAAACACTCCTTCAAGCGGGAAAAAGTCTTTCTAGTGTCACAGACAAATTGAAGCACAAGTGTTAAAGTCGCCAGCCACCATCCATCACGTCTATGCCTTCGTCTCCCGAATCTTGAATCGACCGTTGTAATGAGGATAGACAAACCACGCGCATGTGGTGTCCATGGGCTTTCCCGGAAGCTCAAATTCGAGATCAAACTTGCGGACAATTTGGGGCACCACCTTTGTCAGTTCCAGCAAGCTGATGTTTCTGCCGATATAGGTTCGTGAACCAGCTCCAAACTATAGCGAAGATTAGTCCCATCGATGAGCTCTAGAGCGAGGCTTGATATACCGCAAACATCATAGAGTCCATGATGCTGGTCTTTTCGTCCCCGATCCAGCGCTCTGGCCGGAATACTTCGGGATCCGGGCCGTAGATGTCCTTGCTGTAGTGCAGGACCCATGCGTTCACGCCGACCTCGGTCTATTCGACTGGTCAGTAGGGGATAACAACACGCGGCTGATTACATACGCCCTCGGGAAAATAGTGTCCCGACAGTTCTATGCCACCTCTAGGCACAACACGGGGCAAGATGGTTCCCACGGCTGGATGAAGACGCAGTGTCTCCTTGATGACAGCCTGTAGGTAGGTCATGTTCTGGGCCTCCTGAAAGGTGACAGGGTCTGAGATGCTGCCGTCGGCTGCTTTGGTGTCAATCTCCCTGCGCAGTTTGGCGAGCTTGTTAGGATTCGAGTAGAGGAAAAACAGAGTCGAGCTTAGTGTGACGGCTGTGGTGTCTGAACCGGCTCCGATATTGCTGCCACAGGCATCCAGGACGTTGGGCAGCTTGAGACGCCCTTGGGATTTCATGTCAAGCACCTTCTTCAGGAAGGTATTGTATTTCTTGCTGTCCTTGGTTGTCGAGTGCGCATTCGCTTCTTGGTTCTTGTTGATCTGCGCAAAGGTGTAGCTGACTAGCACCGAGGTATTCGACTTCCTGCCTAAGACGGCGCTTAACCCGATGACCCAGGGGACGAGGCTGGGGATAACTCCTAAGTAGGCCAGAAAGTCGTTGGCCTCTCGGATACCTGGGATCATTCCGGTGGTGTCGCCCTCGTTCTCTATCATGTTGAAGCTCTTATTGAACTTGATCGCCTCCGTTAGTTAAGATCTACCTAGCAGCGATGCAAGTAACTCACAGTAATTTCGCCAATGATATTAAAGGCGTAGTACTGCATCCAGTGCGGGATATCAAGGAGACGGCCTTCTTCGGCAAACTGATATAGCTTTCGCATGCAGACAGCAGTTATGTCATCGACAGCAGGTTCGTAAGATACCATGGATGATATGGTGTACAGGGGCGAGATTCTTCGTCGTCTTTCCTTGTGTCGTTCATTGTCCTGGATGGGAAAGATGTTTTGCTCCTCGGGGTTGGGGTTGAGCAGCGGCTTGTAATAGTCGCTCTTGGTAAACTTGCCCCCGAGCTCGTAGATGGTCTTGATATCTTTCGGTTGACTGACGCTGTAACGGTTCGGTCCGACTCGAACAACTGGGCCTGAGTAGTTCAAAGTCAGTGAAGTGGATAGGCAACAATCAGGGAACGACGAACCGTATTTCTTGTGCAGGCGTATGTACTCCCTGTTTGAATCGCCTTTGATTACGACGCGGTACTCCCACTAATGCGTGACTCGGGTCAGCAATGGGCCAGGGATCTTCCTTAGAGGCGAGAAGAAGAGACTGTAAACCAGTGGAACGAGATAGAGGACAGTAATAAGAGTCGCAGAGGTCAGCAGAAACGCAGCAGCAAGGTCTTTGAGACCAGCATGCTGGAGTCTCGATAAGACATACTGGGCGATGGGAGAGCTCTCTAAGTTTCGCAGGAGCGCCATTGGTGCTGTTGGCAAGGGTGAAAATGATGCTGGAGAGAGAGTTGGGTAATAGTGAGCTGGTGGCGTACTTAGTAGTTTTAATCATGGCCATGTGGTTGGCCTGGAATGCTGGCCGTCGGACCCATCGCCCGACACCCCTCAGCTGAGTACCGGTATCTGTTGTTTACAGGTGGGGTTATTACATGGCCAGGTAGATCTGGACACGCCGTATCTGATTGCAGCCATGTCGGTTTCACTTACAGGCCAACCCAAGACGGCCGTAACGTTGTAGTATACGATCAGTCGCCAACGGGCCACATGGTCTGCACCAGGAGATTGCGCCGTGTCTGACCCCCACTGTTGCGGACATTTTGCCTAGTTCTGGTAGCCTCCGACTCCGCAACCCCGTTCATCTTGTCCCCTATTCACCTACCCACCGATTCGGGGTTGTCTAATGCTTGCCCCGAATATTGTCTCCCCACCGACTCCCCACTGAGCCACGTATAGCAAGTAGAGGATAATAGTGTGGCCTAGTTACTAAGACTGCCAAGAGAAAGGACTTAAATAGTTCTTGTCGTCGAAAAAGTGGGTGGGGTTGGAGGATGCACATGGTGGCACGGCATTGAAACCCTATATCAGGGCGCTGGTTGTTTGATTGCTGTTCGTCACATAGCACGCCTCTCATTAAGAACTCAGAAGAATCCAAACTGCACAATCATCAAAACATGGCTGACTATACTGCCGAAGTCGAACAAATCTACGCCGGTCTCACCGACCAGCCCCCTCACAGTGAAGAGCAGGTAGCCAGGGCCAAGGCCATCATCGAGCTGCACCTGGCTACCTTTAAATACTATGACTACAAAAGAACATACGAGCTCGTAGACGAAAACTATAAGCAGCACAGCTAGATGGTCGCGGATGGTCGAGAGTCTATCATTGAAGCGTCTAAGGTTCTTAAGTCGATTGCCGCTAAGCACTGGACGGGCCCCGGCGAACCGCACTTCAACATGAATTTCAAGAGGATCTTGGTGGATGGGGATTACATTGTGGCTCAAATCTTTTCTACTCGCTGGCCGGGGGATGCTGGCGAGCATGTCTTTGACCTGTATCGATGGAACAATGGCAAGGTTGTGGAGCACTGGGACGTTATCCAGCAGGTCAACCCGGACAACATCAAGCATGGGAACTCTGTCGCATGAGTCAAGGCATCTAGAATGATGAGTCTAGCTAGATATCAGCACAGTCTCTTACAACCTTCACAAACACCTCTGATTGTGCCTCGAGATTCTCTTCTGTGACGGACAGCTTCCCCTGCGTAGTAGCTCTGCCTGACCCGCCACCGTTGTGTAGATCAATGGGAGAGGAGAGAGGCCGGGAGGCGTCTTTGGAAGTGTTGCCATCATCCATATTTTCAAACCGCCACCTTCACTATCATCAACAACGGTCTTCTGGCTTAACCCATCGAGGGGCAGGCTCCAACTATAGCAAAGAACATATTATCAAAACATCATAGCATCATAACCCGATGCTAACACAGTGGCCTTTTTTTTTTAACTTCTGCCGCCTGCAGAAGAAGAGTCATACCTAGCTGCATCACTATGAAAGGATAAGCCTCTCATGGGGTATTTAACTGCTCTAACCTCCGTACGAGAAATAAGAGAATTATTCCTTTCCACCTTCTTAAGACAAGACTATAGTCTCTCTCGATACAATGGCGAGAACCACAGCAATAGGAGCCACTGGCTCTGTCGCCGCTATCATCAACAACAGAGAGAGAGGCCGAGACTAGTAAACTCAATAAGGATAGAAGGGGCGGGAGGGGTTCCGGGTCCGGGTGAGGCTCTACCTCGGCCGAGGATCTGCCCGAACACCGAGGCGGGGCCGGGGCCCCACGGGGATGCAAGGCGGGGTCTCCGCGGTGTGGCGGAGGAACGGTTCGGTGGGGAGAGTCCCATCCTCCCCGTCGGAGTTGGTCACGAGCCTCAGGTCAACGCCCAAGGCGTCAAGTGGCTTCAATAGTCTTGAGAAGTGAAGGCTAGCGGCAAATAATGGTGTCTCTCGGGGAAACATGCCCGGGGTAGGACTTGGGCTGAATGGAGGCACAAGTGAGGGGGGTTCCTCCTGGCTTGATCGTTTGCCCACTTGCTTATGATGATAAAAAAGCAAGGTCTGAAGCCGGGATGCAAACCTCGCTCTAGGAACGAAAAACCTCTATCGTCCATCTATCCATTCAGCGAAAACCCGCCCTACTGCAAACATGGTGGCCCAAGTCAAGAACGTCGCACTCGTTGGTGTAAGCTCTATTGCCCACCACGGATTACATGGCACAAAGTTGATAACACGTGAACAGGCTAGCGGTAATCTGGGGGTTGTCATCCAGGACCACTTCCTCGCACAGGCAAACTCGCCCCTCTGCGTCTCCGTCTTGACGAGGCAGGGCTCTGATGCCAAATTCCCTGCTGGGTTGAATGTCATCTCGACAGACTACAGCCCCGCGTCCCTTGAGCAAGGCTTGAAGGGACAAGATGTAGTCATCATGCTCCTCCCCCCGGAGTCCACTGTCGACTATGAAACCGTCATCGACGCGGCCGTCAGGGCTGGCGTGAAGCGCTTCTTCCCTTCCGAGTACGGCGTCAGGACCTATCACCCGGAGTTTGCCAACAACGTCTTGCTCGCCACTAAGAAGCGGTCCATTGTCAAGCATTTGGAAAAGACCTAGGATGTCATGAGCTGGACCGGTCTCATGTGTAACCCCTGGGTTGATTTTGTACGTCTCCCTAACGGTTTATTCTCTCGTTTTCACACCCCGGGCGGCATATTGACTGATATGCGTAGTGTGTTGTCGATGGACTTCTTGGTTTCGACGTTAAAAACCACGAGGCACGCATCTACAATGGGGGCGATGTACCGTTTTCCATAGGTCTCCGTGACCTGGCGGCCCAGGCCCTCTACGCGCTTCTCACTAACCCAGAGCGGCTGGAAGAAGCAAAGAACAAGTATATCCACGTGGCTTCTTATACCGTGACGCAAAACGAGATCCTCGCGGTTGTGGAAAAGTTGACCGGTCAGAAGTGGAAGGTCTAGCATCTCACATCCAAAGAGGTTCTGCCGGAAGCGTTGGCAGACATCAAGAAGGGCCTGAATTGGGGCCTTGGTCACCAGGTCCAGGCGATCCTCTTTGACCGAGGCTCAGACGGACAGGCGATTGGTGACTTTCGGCCGTTGGGAATATGGAATGAGAAGTTGAATCTGCCACAGAGCACCTTGGAACAAGACCTGAAGGGTCCCCTTGCTGGAAAGTGGAAGGGGATTCTTCATTGGCAGCCAGAAGAGCTTCCTAACTATACACTTAAGAAGGATCGTGCTTCTAGCACGCGCCAGTAGATCATCAAAGAGTAGACTTTCGTGTAATCGCAGTCAGAGGCTGTCCTCCAAATGTCACTATTGTTGTCAATAATGATGGTAACGCCGCTTGAAAAGCTGTGAAAGAACCTTCGCATCCAGTATTGTTCATGATTATTGAAAATAATGACACTTGGGTGGGTGTCACACAGAATACCAAAGAGCATGTATCTGAACGCAATGGCGGCATTGAAGCTGAATATCGTCACATAACTCATCATAGATTATTAACACCCGTCACAGCTACAAGCAGAGTATACTGATGGATGAAAGCCTTGCGTATAGGATGCGGCCTTTTCTGTCCTCTCAAGGTAATAAACACGACCCCTACTCTAACTGCTACTATTGGAAAGTTCGTCATGTGGCCATGTGCGTATACCACTCGCGAGATGCATACTGCTTGTGAGAAACCTGAAGTCACGCTTGCCCCTGTACCAGGGTCATTGTAAGTTGCACAAGAGTCAATGGATCTATAATGCTACGAGATCTCATAGCTTGGTGCTAACGCCTGACTTGTCATCCAGAACACTGCTGAAGCCCCGGTGGCCGATGAAGGTCTCAGAAGGGTCCCATTTGCCCCTGATCTGAAGCCATTTCTTCAGTGCAGAATCCGTCATGACCTAGTGTTCAAGTTAGCATGAATGTTTTATAAATGGAACTATCGAAAAGACTTGCCTTTGGCTTCCTGTGATTGACGTTGAAATCGGCCATATATACACCACACGAGACCTCGTCTGCCTTGGTATACGCGTCGAGCAGCCACTTGTCCATAGCCGCGTCCTGCTTGGGATCCTTCCAGCAGCACATGGTCGACACATAGGTCTTCTGGGGTAAGCTGAGTGCCTGGTCTTCCTCGTCAGGGTAATAATCCATCGGACATAGGGTGCCGGATGAGAGACGAGATGGTAGGTCGTACAAAGCCGGGGTGATGGCGTTAATGACCTGTGTATTTAGTGATTAGCATGTATCTATACGGATGAACCGTGAATGCACTCACCTTATCGTCAGACGCCTTGGGGTCAACCAGGATACTATCCACGTTCTATCTCTCACTATTTCCCTGCGGCTGGACGCTCTCCTGGAGGCTCCAGAGCTCTTCCCAGGTTCTCTCTACCAATGGGACAGTCGTGACGATGTGCTTCTTGAACTCGTCAGGGAACACATCCCAGGGACTCGCCAGGACTTTCGCCTCATCGAAAGAATCGGCAAAGATGGTTTCGTTGATGGCGAAGAAGACGCGTTTGGCGGCTGACTCGTGGCCGCCGTTGGGGTCATCCTTGTCGGCGTAGAATGTGCAGTAGAATAGATCTACGCCGTACTTGGGAACCTTCTTGGACGTTTTAAAAACCCACTTGAGTAGCGGCTTGAAGATATCTGTTGAATCGACGATGATGGTCGTGTCAAAGAGCCTTCTTGCTGGGATCGTCTTGACCCAGATCTTCGTCACTACTCCAAAGTAGCCCTGCCCACTGCCCGGAGCCGCCTAGAACAAATCGGCATTCTGCGTCTTGTTGGCAATGACCGTCTCCCCCTCCGAGGTGACGACTTCCAGCTGCGTGATCCAGCTAGGGGCAGTGTAGCCCCATCCACGGAGGAAGCAGCCTTGGCCACCCGCAAGCAAGAAACCGCCGACGGCGACGGACCGCGAGTGGCCCGCTGGGAAGAATCTGCCGCGAGCGTTGAGATAGTTCGTCACATCCTCGACCTTGTGGCCGGGACTGACTGAGGCAACCTTGGTTGCGGCATCGTATGTGATCTCCCGGTTGAGGTTGCGCGTGTCGATGAGGAGGCCGCCGCCCAGGAGCGCGTTGCAGAAGAACAGGTGCCCGCCGGAACGGACGCCAATCTTCTAGCCATTCTCGCGTGCCCTCTTGACAGCGGCCACGACCTCGGCCGTGGTGGTTGGGCTGACGATCTCTGTGGGATGGATGTCGGGGATACGCTCGTTGAAGAACTTGCGGCGAAGCTGGTCGTAGCCTTTAGATGTCTGAGTAAGAGTGTTGGGCAGCGTACCCATGATGACGACGGGTGAGAATAATGAGGAACAGATGGGTAGATTTGCTTTCAGGAGGGCTCTTGTTCCAACCACCACTGGAATCCTCTAAAGATGCACGCTATTTAAAGCTAACTTTGTGGGCATCTCAAATGGCGGTAGTGCCGGCACTTGCGGATGCTCCCGGTTAAAGGAGCCACCTGCGAGGGTCGTGTGGGAGTGGAAACCCACCAAGTCGCCACCTGTAGTTGAGTGGGTTGGAGTCCGACCACCACACCACGCACACGTTATCTCAGAGCTGACGAGTCCGCTGGGGTCTGACGCTGTAGCTCGACGCGTTGAGAGGCGGGCGTGTGGTCCTTGGTCTTCAATTGTGGTGGTACGGTCTCGAGATATAATTCTTCTGTTAAGATTATTATCTTTTGCAGGATTAAGGTCCAGAGTCATAATATCTATTAAAATATATCTCTTTTAAATAAGAGATATCCTATTAACATACTTAATAAGCAAGTATTATAAATAAGTAAGTATTATAAAAATCCCTTAACTTAATATACTTAATAAATAAGCGCTATAGTTATATAAGCGCTATACTTTTTATAACCCTATTTATAATTCTCGCGATATAAATACTATAAATTATTTAATTAATTAAAACTACTTATTATATTTTTTCTTAGATATTTTAATTATTACTTAATAAGTCTTTATATTATACTTAGGCTTATTATAAATACTATAGCACTAAATACTAGGTCTAATTAACCTTCCTTAATTACCTCTCCTTAATAATTTTATTATTACTTATATATTTATATCTATTTAATTAATTATTTATTTTTTTATTATTATTATTATTATCTCTCTTTTTTATAACTTAATCCTTTTTACCCTTTAGCGCTAACTTAATATCTTATTTACCTCTTAAAGGTCTTTAATCTTAGCTATTAATAAGATAACCTTATATATAATAGCTTTTATTCTTTTTATAAACGATTATAAAGTTTTAAGGATTAACTCTAAGGAGTTATTTTAATATTTTTTAATTTATTTTTTAAGGTATTTAAACTAAGATCTAGCCTTAATTATAGTCTTTAAGGTCTTTAAAGCCTAAGGGGTTAATAATTTAATTACTTCCTTAATTAATATTAGTATTTATAGCTAAATATTAAGCTTTAATATTATAATTTCTAAGTTAAAAAAATAAAATTAATTTTTTTAAAAGCCTCTTTAATATTTCTTTTTATTATAATAGCCTTATATATAATATAAAAGGCTAAAAAGAATTTAATCTTTAAAATATAAATTATAAAATATTTAATTAAATATTTTATTATTTAATTATAAGCCTTTTTAAGTAATTTAAAATACTTAATATTAAATAACTAAAATAAATAAATAAAAATAAATTAAAATATAAAGCTAAATAATCTTATTTTTCTTATAATATTTCTTAAATTTAATAAAATAATAATTTTTATAGCTATTAAGGATTAAGAGATAATAAAAATTAATTAATTAATTAATTATATATTAATTAAAATATTTAAATTATTTAAGATTAATCTTAT